AAGGCACACCAACTCTTAAGAATATTCTAATTGAGGAAGGTTATTGTCTTTGTTTTTAGTTGATTTGCATTTAGCCATTTTTATTGGATAAGCTAATACATACCTGACTATAAAAGTCCACATTCTATGAAATCTCACAAATTGTACTTACACCTGCAGAGGACAGTTCAGTTTTGTCTTGTGACCAAGAGCAATCTTTGACTTCATACAGCAGTGTGTTTTGTCATTTTTGTGGCTTGGAATGGCTGCTGTCCTGAATTTCTGTTTTTATGAGGTAATATATTTTTGTTAATAGATTTCTGCTTTCTTTTAGTAGCTTTAATGTCTTCTATAACAATGTTGTTGTTTTTCATAATCTTCATAGCTGCATGAATTCACCATTACCGCTTGTAGTACAAATTGTGTTTATATACACTCATTGTCACCTTCCAACTTAATTTTTGCAATTGATTTGAATTTAAAACAATCACATTGTTCATTGTACGGTAAGATTAAGTACTTGTATTCCCCATTTTAGAAGGAAAATACAACTTCCCTAAATATTTCTAAAGTTTTATAAAGTATTTGTTTTCCTATTGTGAACTTAAATTCCAGCCATCTCCTCAATCACGTTATATTTGAATATAATTTAATTATTTTAGAAACAAAATCTGTCCAAATTTGCACTACAAAGAAAGTGCTAACTGTTCTCAGTTTCATATTGTGTTTTGGTCTACCTTGAATGCTGTGTAAAATAAATTATTCCATTATATATTATACCTTCATTGTCACCTTCCAACTTAATTTTTGTAATTGATTTGAATTTAAAATGATCACATTGTTAGTGTTTTTATTGCTCACAGGCACACCAACTCCTAAATATACTCTAATTGAGGAAGGTTATTGTCTTTGCTTTTGGTTGATTTGCATTTAGACATTTTTAATGGGTAGGCTACTACATACCTGACTATAACAGTCCATATTCTATGAAATCTCTTAAATTGTACTTAAACCTTTAGAGGACAGTTGAGTCTTGTTTTGTGACCAAGTGCATTCTTTGACTTCATACAGCAGTGTGTTTTGTCATTTTTGTGGCTTGACATGGCTGCTGTCCTGAATTTCTGTTTTCATGAGGTAATATAAATTTGTTTATAGATTTCTGCTTTCTTTTAGTAGCTTTAATGTCTTCTATAACAATGTTGTTGTTTTTTCCATAATCTTCAAAGCTTTAGGAATTCAGAATTACCACTTGTAGTACAAATTGTGTTTATATTGGTCTGCATGATCCAATATAATGGGATCTTTTAATTGTACAGTAAGCTTAAGTATAAAATATAAAATCCTGATATCCACAAGTGAATATAGCAGAAAAGAAAGAAGAGGGAATAAGACAGACATATTTGGTATAATTAATCAATAAATAGATTAATTACTTAGCTCTAAAACTGGAAAAGTTAAGATTAAGTACATGTATTCCCCATTTTAGAAGGAAAATACAACTTCCCTAAATATTTCTAAAGTTTTCTAAAGTATTTGTTTTCCCATTGTGAACTTAAATTCCAGCCATCTCCTCAATCTCATTATATTTGAATATAATTTAATTATTTTAGAAACAAAATCTGTCCAAATTTTACAAAGAAAGTGCTAACTGTTCTCAGTTTCATATTGTGTTTTGGTCTACCTTGAATGCTGTGAAAAATAAATTATTCCATTATATATTATACCTTCATTGTCACCTTCCAACTTAATTTTTGTAATTGATTTGAATTTAAAATGATCACATTGTTAGTGTTTTTATTGCTCACAGGCACACCAACTACTAAATATACTCTAATTGAGGAAGGTTACTTTGCTTTTGGTTAATTTGCATTTAGACTTTTTTAAAGGGTAGGCTACTACATACCTGACTAGAAAAGTCCATATTCTATGAAATCTCTCAAATTGTACTTAAATTTGAGTCTTGTTTTGTGACCAAGAGCAATCTTTGAATTCATACATCAGTGTGTTTTGTCATTGTTGTGGCTTGACATGGCTGCTGTCCTGAATTTCTGTTTTCATGAGGTAGTATATGTTTGTTTATAGATTTCTGGTTTCTTTTAGTAGCTTTAATGTCTTCTATAACAATGTTGTTTTTTTTGTAATCTTCATAGCTTTATGAATTCACAATTACCACTTGTGGTACAAATTTTGTTTATATTGGTCTGCATGATCCAATATAATGGGATCTTTTAATTGTACAGTAAGATTAAGTAAAAAATGTAAAATCCTGATATCCACAAGTGAATATAGCAGAAAAGAAAGAAGACGGGATAATACAGACAGATTTCGTATAATTAATGAATAAATAGATTAATAATTTAGCTCTAAAAGTGGAAAAGTTAAGATTAAGTACTTGGATTCCCCATTTTAAAAGGAAAATAAAACTTCCCTAAATATTTCTAAAGTTTTATAAAGTATTTGTTTTCCTATTGTGAACTTAAATTCCAGCCATCTCCTCAATCACATTATATTTGAATACAATTTAACTATTTTAGAAATAAAACAAACAAACAAATTTCCATTGCAAAGAAATTGCTAACTGTTCTAAGTTTCATATTGTGTTTTGGGGTACCTGGAATACAGAGGAAAATAACTTAATCCCATTATATATTAAACTGTTATTGTAACCTGCCAACTTAATTTTTGCAATTGTTTTGAATTTAAATTGATCACATTGTTAGTGTTTGTATGGCTCCAAGGCACACCAACTCTTAAGAATATTCTAATTGAGGAAGGTTATTGTCTTTGTTTTTAGTTGATTTGCATTTAGCCATTTTTATTGGATAAGCTAATACATACCTGACTATAAAAGTCCACATTCTATGAAATCTCACAAATTGTACTTACACCTGCAGAGGACAGTTCAGTTTTGTCTTGTGACCAAGAGCAATCTTTGAATTCATACAGCAGTGTGTTTTGTGATTTTTGTGGCTTGACATGGCTGCTGTCCTGAATTTCTGTTTTCATGAGGTAATATATTTTTGTTTATATAGTTCTGCTTTCTTTTAGTAGCTTTAATGTCTTTTATAACAAGGTTGTTTTTTTCCATAATCTTAATAGCTGTATGAATTCACAATTACCACTTGTAGTACTAATTGTGTTTATATTGGTCTGCATGATCCCATATAATGGGGTCTTTTAATTGTACAGTAAGATTAAGTACTTGTATTCAACATTTTAGAAGGAAAATACAACTTCCCTAAATATTTCTAAAGTTTTATATAGTAATTGTTTTCACATTTTGAACTTAAATTCCAGCCATCTCCTACATCACATTATATTTGAATGCAATTTGTTTCTTTTAGAAACATAATAATATTCAATATTGGGTTTTTGTCAACCTGGAATGCAGGGGAAAATAACTTAATCCTATTATATATTAAACTTCTATTGTAACATTCCAACTTAATTTTTGTGATAGATATGAATTGAAATTGATTATATTGTTAGTGTTTTCATGGCTCCCAGGCACACCAACTCCTAAAAATATTCTGAGGAAGATTATTGTCTTTGTTTTTTGTTGATTTGCAATTAGCCATTTTTATTGGATAGGCTACTTTGTGCTTGACTATAAAAGTCCACATTCTATGAAATCTCACAAATTGTACTTAAACCTGTATAGGACAGTTCAGTCTTGTTTTGTGACCAAGTGCAAACTTTGTATTCATACAACAGCGTGTTTTGTGATTTTTGTGGCTTGGCATGGCTGCTGTCCTGAATTTCTGTTTTCATGAGGTAATATATTTTTGTTAATAGATTTCTGCTTTCTTTTAGTAGCTTTAATGTCTTCTATAACAATGTTGTTGTTTTCCATAATCTTCATAGCTTTATGAATTCACCATTACCGCTTGTAGTACAAATTCTGTTTATATTGGTCTGCATGATCCTATATAATGAGATCTTTTAATTGGACAGTAAGATTAAGTACTTGTATTCCCCATTTTAGAAGGAAAATACAACTTCTCTAAATATTTCTAAAGCTTTCTAAAGTATTTGTTTTCCCATTGTAAACTTAAATTCCAGCCATCTCCTCAATCACATTATATTTGAATATAATTTAATTATTTTAGAAACAAAATCTGTACAAATTTCCACTTCAGAAGAATGTGCTAACTGTTCTCAGTTTCATATTGTGTTTTGGTCTACCTGGAATGCTGTGAAAAATAAATTATTCCATTATATATTATACCTTCATTGTCACCTTCCAACTTAATTTTTGCAATTGATTTTAATTTAAATTGATCACATTGTTAGTGTTTCCATTGCTCGCATGCACACCTGTAGAGTACAGCTTAATTTACTATGATCAAGTGCAAACTATTAAATTGCTACAGTAGTGTGTTTTGTGATTTATGAGGCTTGACATGGCTTCTGTTGGAAATTTCCATTTTTTTATGATTTAATATATTTTTGCTAATAGATGTCTGCATTTTTTTAGTATCTACAATGTCTTCTATAACAATGTTTTTTTTTTTTTGTTCATTGTATTTGTTGGTTTATGAATATCAGAAATTGCAATTAATTTAATTTAAACCTTTTTTTAGTCTGACCCTCCCTTATCAAATAAGTGGCACTTGGGTAACTGGTTGAAGAAGGGGAATCCACACAAAGTGTCTCTTGCATCTTCATTAGAGACTAATATGGAATCATGCCATGGATATAACAAGGAGAATCAAGAGCAAGACACAAGAGCAGGAAATACAGAATCATGTGGTCCAAAGGAGTTTATCACTTCTTTTAACCCCACCCGAGACACCAAGAATGCACAAAAAGGCTCTGAAAGCAGACAAGGCAGAAAGAAGTCTCCATCTCAATTTCAAAACACCACACTAAGGAGAGATATTTTGAAAAAACAGTCCAGACATTTTGCAAATGAATCTGTAGACGCACCACGAGATGGACTCAAAATAGAGAGTGTTCCTCTAAAACTCTCTATTGATGAGGATGATAGTTTTTTTCACTTTTCATCATTGTTTACTCCTATGAAGAAGCTTCTTTCACCCCTTAGAGACCCAGAGGATCAGTTATCTCTTATTGTAAAGACTGGCTTAACCCTGTTATCCCCAATACCTGGACAGCCTTACAAAAAAGCAGGACAGCCCAAGGTTGAAAAGACTGAACTTGAGAAGCAACAAAAAGAGACCCAGAAGCAGACAGTGAAAAGCTCCAACAATGGGAAGTGGAAGCACATGGTACGTAATCTTATCACATGCACTTAGAATTGTTTTGAAAAGGATTTACTTTGCTTACTTTTTCTGTCCCAAAGCATCACATATTTTTAAAGTTATAGTGACAATAACTTTATGTCCCTTTTCGGTTCCATTTGTTTATATAGGTTTGCATGAGCCTGTATAATTTTACTGTAAGATTGAATACTTGTATTCCCTATTTTAAAAGGAAAATACAACTTCCTTTAATATTTGTAAAGGTTTATAAAGTATTTTTTTTTTTACGAATATTCCAGCCATCTCCTCAATCTTATTATATTTGAATACCATTAAAGGAAACACAAAAATAACACATTGTTCCACTACAGAAAGGTGCAAAATTTTTCATGTTGTGTTTTAGTTTACCTGGAATGCTGAGAAAAATAATTGAATTCCATTATATATTGTCATGGCTTGCAGACGCCCCAACTGCAAAAAAAAATTCTAATTGAAGAATGCTATTATCTTTGTTTTTAGTTTATTTGCATGTAGCCATTTTCATTGAAAAGGCTACAACATACCTGACCAGACAAGTCCCCATTCTATGAAATATCACAATTTGTACTTAAAGGGATACTAAAGTGCCAGGAATACAACGCTCTCTTTCTGGCACTAAAGCTTCCCTCTTCCTCCACATCCCTCCTAACCACCCCATACTGGTGAGTAAAAGGTTAATAACCCTTTATTTACTCACCTTATACTAATGCCAATTTAACTTGGTGCTGGGTCACAGCTCCGCCTCCTCCGACGAGCGATTGCTAATGGGCATGCTTGGCACAAGCAGCGCGTGTAATAGACCTCCCTATAGGAAAGCACTGAATGACTGCTTTCCCATTGGGAAAAATCTGACCCTGGATGTCCTCATGCAGAGCATGAGGATGTCCAGCATCAGTTACTAGACCAAAGGTCTGTTTTTATTCAGGAACTGCCTCCAGTGGCTGTCTCCTATACAGCCACTGGAGGCAGGCTAAGTGCTTAAATGTAAACATTGCAGTTTCTTTGGAATGTTTAACATTGCAGAACTAAGTGCAATAGGGACACTGTACCCAGACCACTTCATTGAGTTGAAGTGGTGTGGCTGTATGTAGTGTCAATTTAAATCTGTCAGTTCAGTCTTACTTTTGACTTCCTACAGCAGTGTGTTTTGTGATTTTTGTGGCTTGACATGGCTGCTGGACTGTATTTCCATTTTCATGAGATAATATATTTTTGCTGATAGATGTTTGCTTTCTTTTAGTATCGTCAGTGTCTTCAGTAACAATATTTTTGTTTTTCACATAGTCTTCATAGCTTTGTAAATATCAAAATTTACGATCAATTATTTTTTTAACTTTGATTTATTTATTTATTTTTTAGGCTGACCTTTCATCTTTAAATAAGTGGCAGTTGGGGCGTGGCACTGAAGCAGGTTATACAGAATCAAGTAGCACAAAGGAGTCCACCACTTCCTCTACCCCCATCCAAAACACCAAGACTGCACAAAAAGGCAATGAAAGCAGCCAGGGCAGGCATAAGTCTCCAGCTCAATATGAGAGCACAACACAAAGGAGAACTTTGTCCAAAAAAGCCGAAAAGGCATCTGTAAAGGCACACAAAATAGAAATTGTTACTACAGCAGAAATTACTACAAATATGCCCCCTAGCAGTCCCAAGGCTTCTACAAATGGCTCTCACAATCACAACATGAAGAAAGAACCCAAATCCTCTCCCAGCCTTACAGCAGAGAATAAAAAGTCTAAGTCTTTACCTAGACCCCTTCAGAAGTCCAGAGAGTTTGTTAAAACATCTTTATTCCAAACTTCTAAAAATTTAGAGAGCAATAGAACATCTCCTCTAAAACCCTCCATTGAGCAGGATGATATTTTTTATCGCTCATTATTCATTCCTATGAAGGGGCTTCTTTCACCCCTTAGTGACCCTGAGGATCAGTTACCTCTTATTGTAAAACATGACTTAAGCCTGTTGTCCCAGATTCCTGGATGGCCTTACAAAAATGCAGAGCAGCCCACGATTGAAAAGATTGCACCTAAGCAGCACCCAAAAGAAACCAAGAAACAGACCGAGCAAAGCTTCAATAAGGGAAAGCGAACGCACAAGGTTTGTAATATCAACACATACACAAAGAATTGTTTTGAAAATGATTTATTTTGTTTTCTTTTTCTGTCCCAAAACACCACATCATTTTAAAATTATAGTAAAATTAACTTTATATCTCTTTCCGGTTTAACGTGCTTTCACAGCTCTAACTTTTTCATAATGAATAGAAGGGTTTGTTCCTACTGTAATTTTACTCCTGGACCAAAGACACATGATTTTATTCCAGAAATGACATCTGTCCTTTTTGTTTTACACTTTCACCATTCTGACCACTAGCATAAGTTGCATTGGTTACTGAAGTTTTCCTAAACAAATATATTTTCCCACTGTAATGGGGTTCTCAATATTGTCTCATTTTGTGTTATTTGCAAACAATTGATTTTTGTGCTGTCTAAATAGCCATTTTAATGTTTCTTCAAGGACATCAAATAGAAACTGAACAAAGCTTTGTTATACTCTTGGCTAGGTGTCCCAAGTTTCCATTCAGATTAATATAAATAATAAATGTTAAGATTTATTGACTGACAATTCAATAGAAAATTCTGATTTTTTATTTTTCTAAATAAGGGTGCCTTTAAAAACTCGAGCTTTGCACTGTGATTAGATATTTTTAAATATTTTATATTTATAGAATATGTACATAATATTGATTTTTTTTTTAACAGAATGATGAAGAATTAAAGGGTAATGATGCCAAGAAACAAAAAGTGGAAGAAAAGACCACAAACTACAAAGTGCCCAGTAAAGAGTAAGTAGTATATCTGATCTTGTTTATTCATTCACTATGTGTGCATGTTTGTATTGTGTGTGCATCTGTGTAACCTCTCATGTACATTGTGTTACAACACCTCATTAATATATTTGTTTTTTCATGTTTCAGGTTGTCAAAACCAAATACTGTAAAGGGAAGAGAGTTACTCCCTTCACCTGCAACCCCTGATCTACAGAAAGATTTCAAGTCTAAACATGGGTCTTGTAAAAGAACCATTAGCCAGTCTTCATCTCAGAAATCCAGCATCAGTGGCAGCACAAAGGATAGTGGCAATGAAAGTAAGTCTTCTGATAAGCAAAGAAAAACTGGAAGTAGCACCGAGGAGACAAAGGTAAACATTGCAATGGTTTTCCAGACAGAAATTCTTAGGGATGATAGTTACAAAAACCTGATTTGCCCAAATTAATATCTTAAGGGATTGTTAAATCCAACAAATATTGCCTTGTTTATTTGCAAAGTTGAACATGTTTATGTCTTAAACTGAGTAAATCCTTCTTAAATGGGAATAGCGTGTAGCTGAGTATTGTTAAACCCGTACATAACCCAATCCAATTGGATTCAGCTACAGACCCTTAGTCTGTAGTGAAGTCAATAAGCAACGTAATAGCCGACCATTTGTTTTCAAGGTTTTATGTGTTGCTTTCAGCCAACATGCGTTTAACTTTAAACCAGTTTATGGATATAGATCAAAACAGAAGCACATTTCTGACACTTCTGACAATATAACTTGGTCCATTATTGGAGACCCAACGTATGGTTGTGAGGAAGAGTTCCACTGTCTGGATTAGATCTCATTCATAAATAGAATGACTTTTCCAATCAGGTTTTTTATTTATTTAACCCCTTAAGGACCAAACTTCTGGAAGAAAAGGGAATAGTGGCATGTCACACATGTCATGTGTCCTTAAGGGGTTAAATGATTTTCAATGATGTAGACATCACAATTGGAACAGCACTAACAACAATATAGTCCGCAATACTTTACTTTGTGTAATGAATTGTACATTTCTTCCTTTCCAGGATAAACCCTCAGGTAATACAGCTTCTGTTGCTTTTGTGCCAGCAATCGATAACAAATCGTGGAGAGCAAAACTGACCTTCGAAGACAGGTGAGGCATTTGAAATACAAAATCATCTCTTTAACATGGTGTTGTACAGATAAACCTTTATGATAGTTTATAACATGAAAACACAAACAAAACAAGTTAATTATTTAACATGTTAATCAGCAAAAAATATATTTTTTGACCATATCGTATTTACACCTTAACAATCTCTGGGAAGGATTCTCAAATGGTAACACATGACAACGTGTTTTATCTTTTTTCATTAAACTAAATAGCATTTTTCTTTTCAAAACTATTTAATGTATCTGTAGTTCTATTCTACTTCAGCTGTTGTTGTATAGGAAAAATAATGCCGGCCATGTTGTCCAGCAAGAGCTGACTTTAAAGGTCCCTGGCCTATTATAACCTTTGACTTCTAGTGTTTAACAAACACATTGCTTAACTCAACACATCACATTAGAAAACTCAAAAACACCAAATTTTGTCCATGCAACAGATGGCTTTAAAGGTCCCTGTGCTATTATAACCTTCTAGTTATAAGACTTCTAGTGTTAAACAAACACATTACTTAACTCTCTCTATTAGATAAATCTTTAAGATTGTAGAAAACTCAAAAACACCAAACAACAAAACAAGTAAATAATTTACAATGTTTGTGTGCAAAATAATATTTTTGATCTACACATTACCAATCTCTGGGAAAGTTTGGGGATTCTGGTGGTAGGTGTTGGCTACAATCTGATCTTAGGGCCCAACTACCATTGTCTTCTGTCCTTATAAATTGTCATATAGACTTAACTCCGAGGGTCAGTGTAAGAACGATTTGTGTGCCTTGCTTTTCTCTCTAGCACTCAAATGGTTAAACTAGACAATATGTTTTATCACTTATTTCCTTTGCAATGAGTAGTTTCATAAAAATTTGGTATGAAAATATCTCTTAATCCATTTTGCCTCTTCCAGAACCCATTCAGCTGATCACTATCTACTAGAAGCGAAGAAAGTAAAGCACAAGGCTGATGCGTTGGTAATGAAGTATCCCCAAATCTTTACAAAGGTGCTTTTCACTTTGCTTACGTTTATTCTGGAGGGTGGAAGATAGCGGGTTTTGCATGTATTGTTGTAAATTTTCAGTGTGTTTGTCTTTGTATTTTTCTAACCTGGCAAAAAAAAATCTTTTTTATTTCCTTTGTAGTCAGACAGGTTCGAGAAAGCAGTACTCTACCTTGATGCGGTGCTTTCTTTCATTGAGTGCGGGAACGCTTTAGAGAAGAGTGTCGAAGAATCAAAATCTCCATTTCGGATGTATGGTGAAACATTAGAGTTAATAAAGTATGTATTTTAATTTGAACTTTCATTTTTATGGGATGTGATATGCTTGTCATATTATTACTTGTTAAGCAGTAGTTTAAGGGTTTTTTTTTTTTTTAAATCACTGCCCATGTTTTGTGCAGAGCGTCATGTAATACATCAGAGATAGGTACACTTTTCTGTGGATGCTCTATTTTCATGGCATCCAGCTTAAAACCAATCTAGGCTGTAGGGAAACCAGAAAAGGGCGATGTTAATATTAGTAATACATGCCATAATGCCTGCAGCCTGTGGTGGGTGTCACCTTGCCTTTCCTCTTTGGTCACTGCTCAACTCCTGCTCTTTTGAATTCTATAAAAATTAGAATAATTAATTTAAATACTACCAGGGGTCTGATCTGATGTAGTCTATTCTATTAGGAATCTTAGTAGTGGAAGAATGTTGTTAGAAATTTGTGGCAACTGTGTGCAGTGAGGCTTAGTGAAAGTAAACGTTAATGTCTTACAAATATACTACTACAACAATTAATTTTACTATCTTTTAATAAGTTTGCATTACCTTTCTAGGTACACCTTGAAATTGGCATGCCCTGCAGCCCCTGATGCTACATCAGATGATAAGAGACTTGCTGTTCTTTGGTATGTATTTTTTCACTCTTGCATTGTAAACCAAAATCACACCATTGTCAGTAAACCAAAACCGAGCGTTATCTGATATTAATTCTGAAGGCAGATAGTAGAGCAAATATCTCAAAGTGTAAATATAAGCCATGCTCTGTTTTACCTGTCTCCATGCACAACTTTTTCAATTTCCAGTAGATATGTATATAAAGTGTATGCCGGTGAGGTAGTCATTGGTTGGACTTAACAAATATGATCTGTTTGGAATAGCCAGTTTGAAACCGGATGCTTGTGAATCATACATTGCATACAGATACTTCTAAATGTGAACAGATAACTAAAAGTTCTAGGTATATATGGCAGGGAGTGTTATAATCAAGGTGCTATTCTCCCTTCAGATTTGCAACCAGTTTGGTAAGCATGGCTACCTGTACTAATAGGAGAAAAATAATACCAGTGTCAACAGTTAGTACCACATTGTTTTCCTTTGCTGGTAGATATTTTAACAAAGAAATTTATCAACTAAGAAAACACTATGCTAAAATGAATCATCCAGCCAGTGAGATACCTGGTCTACTAACTAATACAGATTTTACATGCTGCATATTTAGTGATTGATTTTGTTGTGTCTCCTCAGTCTTTGCTGTCAATCCCTTTTGTACTTGAGGTTATTCAAACTGAAGAAGGAGAGTGCATTGGAAGATTCCAAGACATTAACTGAATACTTAAACGTAAGAGCTTTTTCAGAATGGTAGCAATTGTTTGGTATTTCTATATATTGTATCTTTGGGTTATTCTTTTTTTTATATATTTGTGTTGTCAGTGATTTTGTTTAGGACTGATATTTTTGAATACTAATGACTGATTTAAATTGAAATATTTTATAGAAATGTAGATGTAAGGGGTAATTCTTATCAGGTCCATAGCTCAAAGTGCAATTCCTTCTACAGTTAAATATTGTACATTATTAAACTGCCATGTACAAATCTTGGGGATTACAGGAACATCTTCACATGTTTATACTTCTGTTTTATACATTTTGTTGGTGATATTATTTGTAGATGTATTCATTAAAAATGTTTACTTATCTGAAGTTCACATCCTACATTAGGAGGGTAATAATATACATAATAATAGACTGGTAGTGGTCCTTGAGGAATAGATCATAAACGCCCACTGTAATTCCAGGGATTTTATTCAATATTTAACATGTTTTTTTTTCCTTTGCAGATCTCTTATGGTAATTCTCAAGCTCCATCTCCTACGAGGGGAAGGTAAGACGTTTGCTTTAACTACGTGATTTCATTTCTTTGTAGTTAAATGTTTGGAACATGCCTTGGAAAGTATTTTTTGGCAATATGTGTCTAGAAAACAGAAATTAAAACGTTTTTGTTTTAAAGCAAACCTGCTTTGGCCTAAAATTTTAAATGAACTTCGAATAGGGTGCCCAGGAGACAGCCCAACACTCAGGCATTATAAATAAATGTATTTTAAACCACTCAAGTGTTCCTTTTATACCTGCAAGGCATAACATGTGCAAACATCTAAGGTTATGCAGTTATTTATAGGTTTCTTAACATTCAAAATATATGTGTTTTCTATATTTAATCGCTCTGAAATGGAACTGAATTCAAGTATAATTATAGACAGCATGCTCTTTTTCACTAAAGTTAAGTCCTAACAATGACTTTTTCATTTATCATACAGCAAATCCGTGAGTATGCCTTTCCCAGTGTCTCCGAAGCTGTCTCCCGGCAATTCTAATAGCTATTCCTCCAATGTGTCCAATACTACTGGAGACAGGTCATTTGTGACTATACCACAGAAGATTCACCAGATGACCGCCAGCTATGTCCAGGACACGTCCAACTTCCTTTATGCCACTGAAATTTGGGACCAAGCAGAACAACTCTGCGCAGAGCAAAGTGGTAAGGTTTCTTATTATTTACATAATATGTAATAAACTGCTTAGTTTCTCTGTATTAATTATTATATTTATTCTAGATTAAAGGGCTGTAATAGTTTACAATTACAATTACAACTACTAGTAAAAGCATACTTTAAAAAGATAAGGAGGTCCTTGCTCTGATTTTAGTCTAGATACTGGAATGCAGCTTGACATGGAATATTATAACTAGAAAAAAAGGATATTGGCCTTATATTTACATTTTATTTATTTTTTTCTCCAGAATTTTTTTCTGAACTGGAGAAAGTTATGGGTCCTCTGATCTTTCATTCCAGCACCATCACAGATCTGGTACGCTACACCCGTCAAGGCCTGCACTGGTTACGCCTTGATGCCAAGTTGAAACATTAAGGATCCCAACCCACTTGAATGTTTTCTTGCTTCCTCTAATTGTATCTACAGCACTGTGTTTTGCTGAGATTGGAAAACTGACATAATTTACAGAATGGCTGGTCACGATGGACAAAGAATTCTGCATGTCATTTTTTCAGACATATCCATTAAAAATAAGCTTTGCTGTTCATCTTGCTAAAAGACACTATCTTCATTTTTATTTAAAAATAAATTATTTAAAAATTCCTGAGGAATCAAAATTCTTGATTTAATACATGATAAACTTTTAAAACTATTTATTTTAAGCAAATGTTAAATCTGTCAAAAAGAGGGTTTTTCTTTATTTTTTAAAAAACATTTTTATTTAATATAAATGCTTTCAGCAGTTTAGAAGACGAAATCAGTACATGATGGCCTGCATTTAAAAGGGCATTGACAAATGATATGTCCACATTTTCTTTTTGCTGTGGTAAATAATTATTTCAAACCATGAAATCCAAAATAAGATAACTTTTGAAGCAGTAAGAAAAATTACTTTTTTTTTTTTAAATCCTATGATTGTGCATCTTCAATGTACTTTACATGATAAACCTCAAATTTTCTTTTTATGATGTTTTGGCTTCTCATTGTTTGATTTTGTCGGATACCAGGTTAAAGCTCCATTCATTTTTAATATGTAAAGATTAAAAACATACATATAAATAAATGCTAATCAAGAACTGTTGCACTTTATTATGTAATAAATTCCTATTTTTTATAACTGAGGTGTGTATTTTCCCATACTCTTTTTAAATAATTTTTATTATAATTTTATAAAATTTTCAACAAATTATAAAATCATTTTGTTATTCTGTTTGCGTTATTTATTAGTGCTGCAGTTGTTTTGTTGTGTTGCATTTGTGTGTATGTGGGCTATTATATTGTTATGTTCATGAGTAGATTGTAGTATTGTATAAGACAACTATGAATGGGGGCTGCTTGTGGAATTGTATGTGTGGACGATATATCACATTGTGTGTTTGGGGATGTGTGTATGTGTGGTTGCCTGTGGTATTGAATGTGAGGGTTTGTGAGTGTTGTGTTTGTGGGGACTGTGTGTCTGTTTGTGTGTGGGCTGTTTGTATTATTTGTATGAGGGAGAGGTATCTTCTGCAGCTCTGGGTATAGCTAGCAGTGTGGGTGGCTTTCATGTGATCTAGTGGGGCCAGGGTGGCATGGTACAGGTCAAGTGAATGAGATGCGATAATTGCCGGGGCTGCTCTGCTCCAGTGTGGATTCCCATTCACAAGTTCTGGGAGGAAGTAATCTGAGATTACTGCAATGCAAAAGCTGCAATACATGAATTGAGAATTGCCCTGCAATCACTACTGGCAGAAATTTGAAGTCCCACTGGGACTGCTGGTAGGCCACAGCCTGTTTGGATCTGGCAGCCTTGAGTGCTGTGAAAAGGCACCGCGAGTGGTAGGTTGCTGACCCCTGATCTAAGCATTAAGCGTGTTTTTTATAATAATCCAAACCTATTTTTATTTTATAGTCTTCATTGTGTCTGGGTGTCCTGCCTTAGCAAAAGCGTATCATGTAATTACATTTCGTTCTCATGGAGTGCGACGTTCAGCAAGGAATGCCAGAATGTGCATGTGCTTGTATGGCATTTGCTCCCAGAGTATCATAAAACAATGAAGTCACCCTAGACACAGAAGTGAATTTATACATACCTCTGCTGCTTCACTCACCCCATAAAATGTCTCAGTTGTGTTAACTGGGGAGAGTGAATAAGAAACATTCATATTCATATTTGTATTGGAAAGATTTTAAATTAAAAAAATCTATTAATATAAGTGATATAATTTGTGAATTAATGTCAAATGATATTGGATACCTAAAGTCGCAGGAAAAGCTTACATGATTCTTAGTTAAATTGAGTTTATCAGGCCATCTCAAATCAAGTAAAACAGTAAATTGAAAATATTTGAGATAACTGGAACATATAATATACAATAGGTTTAAAGCATAGGCGTGCGCACGGGGTGTGCCGGGTGTGCCTGGGCACACCCTAATCCCGCGGCACGCCTATGCATATTGAGACCGGCAGGGGAGATCTCAGGATCTCCCCTGTCGGCTCATGCAGAGCCGGCGCTATCCGAGCGCCGGCTCTGCTCTCAGCCTCCCTCCCCACCGACCCACATGCAGGGAGGGAGGCAGGAGAGGACCCGGCGGAGCTATTGCCGCAGCTCCGCCGGGTTCCTCTCGCGAGATATGAGTGTTGCCACGGCAACGCTCAAATCTCGCAAGAGTGAACTCTAGCCCCACAGGGGCTAGAGTTCACTCTCCACTGGACCACCAGGGAAGGCAGCAGCAACAAGGATCCCCTCCTCCACTGGACCACCAGGACCACGATCCCCCCTCCCTACAAAAGGTAAGAAGGGAGGGGGGATAGCAATTAATGTACCCCCACCTCCACCCCCCCCAATCACCCACCCACATACAGCACACACAGCACACACACATACAGCACACACACATACAGCACACACAGACATACAACACCCATACACATACAGCACCCACACACATACAGCACCCAGACAGCACCCACACACATACAGCACCCACAGACATACACAGCACCCACAGACATACAGCACCCACAGACATACACAGCACCCACAGACATACAGCACCCACAGACATACACAGCACCCACAGACATACAGCACCCACACACAGCACCCAGACATACACAGCACCCACAGACATACAGCACCCACACACATACAGCACCAACACACATACAGCACCCACACACACACAGCACCCACAGACATACACAGCACCCACAGACATACACAGCACCCACACACATACAGCACCACACAGACATACACAGCACCCACACACATTCAGCACCCACATACATTCAGCACCCACAGACACAGCACCCACAGACATACAGCACCCACAGACATACACAGCACCACAGACATACACAGCACCCACACACATACAGCACCCACAGACATACACAGCACCAACACACATACAGCACCCACACACACATACAGCACCCTCACAAACACACACAGCACCCTCACACACACACAGCACACAAACAGCTCCCTCACACACACACAGCACACTAACAGTACCCTCACAAACACAAACAGGACCCTAACAAACACACACACAGCACACTACCAGTACCCTCACATACAAACAGCACCCTCACACACAGTACATTAACAGCACCCTCACAAGCTCACACACACACACACACACAAACAGCACCCTCACACACAATACATTAACAGCATCCTCACAAGCACGCACACACAAACACCCTCACCCACATAGCACACTACCAGCACCGTCACACACACATCACACTAACGGCACCCTCACACACACAGCAGTGTGTGTATGTGTGTATATATGTGTATGTGTGTGTATATATATATATATATATATATATATATATATATATACATACATATATGCGGCGTGTGCTTGTGCTTTAGGGTGCACACCCTAATGCAATAGGCTGCACACGCCTATGGTTTAAAGTAAATGATGCCTAAACATAATAATATATTGTGTTAGAAGTCAGTTTGGAGAAATTTTAATTCATATTTAAGCATTGAAAAGACATTTATATTTAGGCATTACTAACCTTTTAAATATGCAGTGAAACGGCATGCCAGTTCATCCAGTCGGCGGGATGAGATGACATGAAGACGTCCTCGTGTAGCGGTAAGGCAGGGTCTGGGATACAAGCACACCAAAACATGCAGAGTTTCGCCACATAGCTGCGCTGTACAATAAAGACTGAAGTAAGCAGAGCATTGTCAAGTGGCTGCGATGTACAAAAAGTATTTGTGGACCCTCACTGGGAAAAGAGACGCAATTGGTAGCAGCAACCTGCAACAAAAGGTTCCCACCTTCCCACCACCCCCTTTTTTCTTAATATGTTTGACAACTATATAATGCAAAAAGTAACATGAATCTCTGAATTATAGACAAAACAGCTAAAGTAGCATCTAGTAGGTGCTGTTTAATTGGCAGAGCAGGTGAAAGCAGCCAAAGGTGCTAAAGGCCTTTAACACCTTAGGAACTGCAGATGTATGAGGTACGTCCTACAAAACATGGTCCATAAGAAAAGCGGACGTACCTCATACGTGTGCGGTAAATTTGAGCGCTGGAAGCAATTGTGATGGCTTCCAGCCGCTCTAAGGGCATGACACGATGCCTCGATATTGAGGCATCGTGTAATACTCCCCACACTGCCGGGGACCCGAGTGATCGCTCCCCCCGGAGCGATAACTTCCGTGTTGCTGCACGTGGTGCCAAAAAGTGTTAAAATAAAAATAAAGTAAAATAAAAAATAATTAAATTTAAAAAACATTAACCCCTACCCTCCCTCCCTCTCCCTTCCCATGTACTTACCAATTGCCGCCGTCTCCCCATTCGGTCTTCTTCTGAGGGTAACTGTCTGGGTTAAGCCCAGACAGTCCCCTTTCTCCAATTTAGGACCCCCGGTCACATGGCCCCCGTAGGTGTCCACAGTGCTGCCAGCAGGGGCACTGCTTGAACTGACAGGCAATCCCCTTGCTGGTGAAAAAGTAAAAAAAGTTAATAAAATTAAAAATTAAAGAAAAATAAAATGTATAAATGTAAAAATATACATATGTATATATATATCTCGTTTATAACATCATACTAAGTATATTTTTTCATTAATATATACATATTACATAAGGACCACAGAATTACCTAGTTTGTCTGCGGCAAATAGGAGCCCGCAGCAGTCCCCAGCAGTCCCCCTGCAGCAGCCCCAGCTACCCTGGCCCTCCAGGGCCATGTGATCACCATGATCACATCGCCGCAATAGGACTCTAGGAGCTGCCAGCAAGGTGACTGTCTGAGCTGTCAGGCAGTCCCCCAGGCTGCTTAAAAGTAAAAACAAATATATATATATATATATTATGCATACACAAGTGGTCCTCATTTAGCGACCTACCTGT